CCTTTAGCATGGGCTTTGATTTTTTGGCATTGCAGTTTGGTGTTCAGTTCTGTTGACAAAATCGTCAGTGTTCTTATCCATCTCTTACCTGGTATGTTATACCTACCATTTTTACTATTTTTCTTTTTTAACAAGATAATAAGCTTTTGGAAAACCATTGGCTTCTATTATGACTTTATAGAGTTATATGCATTGAATGATCAAATATTGGACATATCTTCTAAACAATTGCAAAAATAAAAAGTATTTTACTTAATGTGTTCAAGTTCTACCATCTTCATGATTTTTATTTTGAAATTTCATAGGATTCTAGTGTGGTATCTAGAATTAGCTTTTAGCTTAGCGCCATAATCCATTAGTTCGTGTTCTTAATTCACATATATCTTTGCTATAGGAAGGAAGATTTAGTAACATTACTATTCAAAAGATTCATGCTAGACAAGGAGATCAAATATTGGAAGTCAAGTTCATGTACTGGATCAACTTAGAAAATTGTTCAGTGATACTAGAAATAAGGTTTTTTTATCAGAAGACAATTTTGTAGAAAACATTCCTTATTCTATCCATGTAAAGATGTGAGATGCGAGAATGTGCTTTATACGAAAAATAAAAAGCTAAATAAAAACACTGATGGACACCTTGGGTGGACATCAGTGTTTTACTCATTTGGATCCCTTGGAAGTATTGTTTGCAAAAAGTAAGTCATTAATTTTGATGTAGTCTACTTTATGTATCTAATATTATCTTTTCATGATAGCCAACACTTTATGCTCATTTATTGGAATTCGGATTCCCCGTTCTTAGAGGATCCCGCATTCACGCATTTGGGATATCGGTAGCCTGATCAAGATATGACAGTCTAAAAAACACAGATCTTAACCGAGCTTGAATCCACCGATGGTCAAACTGCGTGAATTCAAGGAATTATTTATTGCAGAGAGCCGGATCCGGTTTATTGACTTCAATTTCATAAATCTGCAAGTAAACTCGTTTCCTTTCCTTTGCAGGACCTTCTCACTAAACATGGAAATGTGGTCGCCAAAATTTTGATGGCTCACTATGATGAGGTTTGCGTCCTTGGCATACTTATCTTATTTGAACATATCAAGGCAGCACAAAATGCTGCTTGAGAAACAACTATGCTCATGCTTTTCTAATAGGAGTTATTGTTCCCAGTTTTTTGATCAATACAAAAACCTCTTGACGTCTCCAAATTACGTCACATCGAGGCATGAATTAGAGCTTATGCTCTTGATTTTAACAATTAAATTTACTTGGATTTTAGCTTCTCTCGGATTTTCTTTTGGAATCGCCCAATCCTCAGATAATGAAGCGCTACATCTTAGAAGTTCGCTATTTGAAAGTCATGAGGACATTGTTGACGGTATAACTCCTCTTAATCCTGTGTCATTGTGCGATATTCTTGTTTTTCCATGCGATTAATGAATATGCTTACATGGTTGAGCAGGATTCAAGTAAAAACTTTCAGTTATCGGCTTTTCACATTTTCAAGGTGATTTTCCCGCTTCATGTTTTCAAGTTAATCAATTAACACGTACATTTGGATCTTTGTTTTAATTATTTTTATTACATGTTTATCCAGATTTTGGTCGCTAATCCTAATAAGCCCTGAGACGTGAGAAATATTCTCGGGAAGAACCAGGAAAAGCTGCTAAGCTTGCTTCATAACCTATCGCCGGGAAAAGGTTATTCTGTTTTTAGTTGATTCAAAACATGTAGTTATGTAACCTATTTTTCTGTCAATAAGCTGTTTTCAACTTATTTCGGTAAGCTTTCCAAGACAGATTATGAAAATTCGCTGAAAGCAGTTTCTTTGCTTGTCATAAACTATTTTTTATCAACTCTTTTGATTACCTACTCAAGTGTCTGTGACATTAGCCCAAATAAAATTATTTCAAACGCCCCTATAGTCTTAGAATATAGAAACCAAACAACACAGAGACACATCATTATTATTCAGAGCATGACTTCTTTCAATCTCACAGAATCATGTTTGTTCTATTCAAGGGAGTGAGAAAGAGAAAATAAGAGTGCCTAATTGATTATTTGGTGATTTGACAGGAAGTTGTTGATGCTCTTTCTTTCAATCTCACAGAATCATGTATGTTCTATTCAACAGTGTTTTACTCGTTTGGATCCCTTGGAAGTATTTTGTTTGCTTTTTGGTTGCAAAAAGTAAGTCAACTTTCCCTTAATTTTGATGTATTCTACTTTATGTATCTAATATTATCTTTTCATGATAGTCAACACTTTAGGCTCATTTATTGGAATTCAGATTCCCCGTTCTTAGAGGATCCCACATTCACGAATTTGGGACATCGGTAGCCTGATCAAGATATGACAGTCTAAAAAAACACAGATCTTAACCGAGCTTGAATCCACCGATGGTCAAAATTGCGTGAATGCAAGGAATTATTTATTGTAGAGAGCCGGATCCGGTTTATTGACTTCAATTTCATAAGTCTGCAAGTAAACTCGTTTCCTATCCAGGCATATAGCTCACCGAAGGATGACCCGGATCTCGGGACAGAGGAAAAAAGGATAATACTAGAAGGCGGCGTATCAAAAGCGCCTGTTTCAGATATTCCTTGGAAATTAATTCTATCAAAAGCGTCAGTTTGGGCTCTTATCTCTCATTTCTGTCACAATTGGTGGGCATTTATTCAATTGACATGGATGCCTACTTACTACAATCAGGTTATTACTTATTAATATTTTTAATACAAATTTTTATAGTAAACTTGAACGCTTCGTAGAATACATTTTTTACATAACTTTCTATAGTTGGATCAGAATTTCCCTTTAGTCCATTGAATCAACAAGATAATGCATTGTTATCTCAGGTTCTGAAGTTCAACCTCACAGAATCTGGGCTCTTATGTGTTCTTCCGTGGTTAACCATGGCTGCTTTTGCAAATATCCGAGGACACATTAGTTAGCAAAGGCGTTTTCATAACAGCTGTTCGAAAAGTAAGATAATCACAGCTGCTTTTGGCTTTCATTTCACTCTTCAAAATGATTATGCTCTTAATATTCATGGATATGCAGCCACCTAATTCAAACCGAAATTTTTTTTACAGGGATCTGATGCATTTTCACAATCTGATTACAATCATTAGACCTCAATAACGTATATCCTTTAGTAATCACTATTATCTTCAATATTTTGATGTATCTGACTGCTTCATCCCCACATGCTTCAAACACCAATACTATTATTATCTCAATACTATCAACCCAATTTTATGAATTCCATTTTTCCCTTCCATGAACCAACTCTAGTCAATAACCGAAATATGTAAGGTCTAATCACTATTTGAACAATGATATGCAATTTAGTAAAGGGTGATTACAATCATCTACTTTCATGTTGACCTATTATAATCTATGGGGACTTTTTGTATGTTGCAGTAATCGTCTTCCACAGTCTCCTCAGGAGCATCCAATACTTGGTCTCAATATGCTGAGACTACTTGTGCAGAATAGGATAGCTGAATTTCATACTGATTTGGAATTACTTTCATCCGCTGCTCTAGAGAATCCATGTATTTGGAAGGGGCTTACAACCGTGTCTTGAGTGCTCGGCAGACTGTGCCACATGAAACATATGCTTATTTCATGGATCTTTTGGCAAAGACAATCAGGTAAAAGTTAAATCTGAACGCATTCTGTAGTTGGACTTAGTCTGTTTTTGTATTGCTTTCTTTTATACTCCTTTCAAGTTCCTGCAACGGAAATTTGGCACAAGCACCCATTATTATAATTTTGAATATCCATCACACCTTGGCTGTATGTTTTTTTTGCATATAGATATTTTTTTGCCGATCCTTTTGTATTTTTCTATAAAACATTCAGAGATGAGATAGCAGGATGCAGTGAAAAGGCATATGACTATCTTTCAATTAATGATGCTAAGCAAATGTTGCTGTTCTCCAAAGACCAGGAGCTCTTGGAGTATCTTAAAGAGGTTAGAATCGTCACTGCCTTTAGCATATCTAGTGCAAGCATGAGTGGGAAATGACATTAGTCTTGCCGAAGCACTGTACATTGATGTTGTATAATCAAGATTAATTTCTCTTATCACAATGCATGATGTTATCTTATATGTTCCACGTTTCCAATGTATATTGATCTTGTACTTTTACTTGATGTGCCTAAAACTCGCTGCACAATAATCAGAAAGATATATGTTTCACGTTTCCATTCTAAAATTATTATCTACCGATTGCAGGAGCACTCTAAGTGGGAAATTAAGAACGGTTCCGTCTTCTTTCAAAAGGCAAAAGACACTGCACCTTGCAAGGAAATACCATCTCTGCAACTCATCAACCAAACACTTAGTTATGCTAGGGAGTTAGAGAGGATTGTCTGAAAGGAAATGCATGCAAATGGTCCTGAGTTTTCAGAATTTGCTATTACTGTCTTTTGAAGTTGTTTACTTCTGATTCAGTGTGGAACTAAAAAATGATTTGACCTGTGTATTGTTTCTTGGTGTAACTTTTCCTTTCTTCTTTACTTTGCTAAAACTTATGATTGTCTCACTTTTCACACTAATTCAATTTTTGTAAAAGTGTTGAACACTATTTTTAATAGCAAATAGTTATATATTAGTATTATATTTACTTGAACTTCCAATTTTCTTTACTCTTAATTTAACTAGTTAAATAGGTTGAAATATCTCTCACGTGCATTGAACATTAAATTGTTACTTCTTAGATTCATCTTTATAATGCATGCATATAATATTAAATATCCATGTAAATGTTACTTCTTCTTAGAATCATTTTTAAACTAATAAAATGTTATTTGAAATCCATTATATCATAAAAATTATTTATTAAGAAAATGGTTTTGTCTAACCCATCCATACAAAACCAGCTATAGTCTATAGTTGACGTAATTGTCTTGATATTGTGTGCAGGTTACGTCCGTGCTATGATGGATACTATGTCCGTGCTATGATGGATACGCCAAATTAGATGCAGGAGAGCTTTGCATTAGCAAGATACTAGTATGATATTTCTATCACCACCCTTTTTAAGTCATGTTCTGCATATCTAGCTCTTATATTGCTATTTAATTTTATTATTATTCGGTGTAGATCTGATGCATAGCTTTAACATGATATGTCCCTTGAAACATATGGTCAATACAATCACAAAAATCTTAACCCTTGTGATTTAGTAGTGTTTGAAATTTTCTTTGCAAACCAATTTTCATGTCCCTTTCACCACGCATGACTGTGTTTTTCACGAATGTCTCGTGATTTGTGAAACCAAACGTATGCTTTGTCAACGGTGAAGCTCAAACCTAGTTTAGATAAACTAGATTGTGGGAGGTTTTATCCTCATTCCTCACCTACAACATAAAACTAAATTGTTGATATTCTTTCATAAACTTTCCTTCAATATATGAGGAATATATTAAAACATTTCTATGTTGTATTCTAACTATTATATGTCAAAGTGCTTTTATATACAAGTCTTGTTTGTGTCAGGTTAGGGCAACATGATTAACCACAACCCCTTTAAATAACAGTGAATTCTAAAGATGTAGAATGAAGTTAATTGGACTGTGACAATGTTAGAAACAAGTTCTTGATAGCTGACACCTTATTTTATTTCTGATAATCCCTGTTGTGGCTCTGATAGTCAGAAAAGGAGATAGCCTTTTGACAAATTTCAATTGCCTTAAAATGTAGAATAAGAACTCTTCTTAGGATTTAGTGAGGGGAGGCTCACACTAATGTTTAAAGATTTAGCACATAGGATACACTGCATATTGTAATAAACATACCAAAATGTGTATAAATGAATTAAGGTAAAGAGCATTTCAAAATAAGTTCATGTGTCTGAAACTGGAGGAACAAGTTAATGTGTTCGAAATTGGAGGAACAGTAGATGTTGTCACCATTAGTAACGAGTTTGACTTATTACAAGTGAGATTCCGTCAGGTGTAATCCTAAATATTCAATGAACAAAAAGCCTAAAAGAATAGATAAAACCCCTTTCTAAAAGTGAAGGATAAACTCTTGGACCATAGAATGAAACAACCAAAGTTGAATTTAGGCTAGCTATTGTAACTAGAGTCTTGTTGTGACCGGTAACATCAGTGCAACACAACACACAAACTTTAGATTGGCAGCATGGCTGAGTTATGCCAAATTTTGGAAACAATCCTCTGAGTTGAATTCTAAGTAAATTATGAATTAAGATTGATAGTAAGGGTGGTTGTTGGTTGGTGTAGTCTTTATGTCGATATTATCGTGGTGTTGTTGTTGTTGTTATATGTTACATTACAAGCATGGTAACTAAATATTCACTTTCAGAGACATGTTTATGAAAGCATTTTATGAGCACAAGTTTTCATTTAGCTCGTGATCATTAGTTGTTTGAAATATGAACTTAAGCAAAGGATTTTCATTTATATAACTTAGGGAGAAGCTGTCCTCTCTGGAACCTATCTAATAAACAGAATGCCTTTTCGGATCCTTAACTTTCATACGCCTTACTCCACTCTCCAAACCTTATACCCAACCAATCGTATCCGTACATCTATTCCTTTGAAAATATTTGGATGCGCAACCTTTGTCCATATTTTTGATCCCCAACGCAGTAAACTTGACCCGAAATCCATTAAATGTATATTCTTCGGCTACTCTCCTCACAAATGTTATTCACCTTAAAACAAAAAATTCTACCACACCATGGATGTAACCTTTTTTGAGAATCAACCATATTACCCTAAAGTTGGCATTCAGGGGGAGAACACCTATCCAATTAAAGTGGTAGAATCCAAACTTTTGAAACTTGAGCTAACTGAACCCAAACTCACTGCTGAGGCATCAAAACCTACACTTGAACCAGATGAAAATGCAACAGAAACTGAAGAAACTACGTCAGAAAATGCAGAGGAAATTGCAGTAGAAACAACAACCCCTACAACAGAAACTGCACTAGGAAACAACATGAAAGTGTACTCCAGGAAGAGCAAGAAGGTAATAGTCCTGCGCAGCTCCAAGGCAGAACCAAGAAACCTCCAAGACTCTAGAAAATGGCGTTCCCTCAGGTAATACTGCTCCTAACTCTGTGAATGTTGATGATATTGATATTCCTATTGCTTTGAGAAAAAATGTAAGATCGTGTACTAAACATCCCATTGAAAGATTTGTATCTTATGGAAAACTGTTCCAGAGTTACAAGACTTTTGTAACAGCTCTTGACAATACACATATTCCAAGCAACATCCATGAGGCACTCCAAAATTCTGCAATCTTTCTAAAGCAAGAAGCGAGAAAGTTTACTTTGAGAAAGAAGGTGCTTGTTGCCGCTTTCTTATTTTTTTATAGTAAGTAAGTAAACTTGTTTTGTTTTAGTTTATAAGGCGAAAGGTTGCTATTTTTATAATTATTATAGCGTTAGCGCTTTAGTTTTCAATAAGTTTAGGCTTGACTAAGAACATAGAAATGTTGAATCAGGGTGCGCAGGGAACCCTATACAAAGGGCCTTTCCCTTCAAATGACAACTGCCTCTTCCTGCTGCGAAGGCCTTGCACGAAACCAACCCCCCACCCCGATCCAGTACCAGTTGTTTCGCTGGTAGGCCCACTTAGGTTAGGGCCCACTTAGGAATTCTGAATGGGCAGCAGTCATAACTGAAGAGGTTCAGGCCCTAATTAAGAATGACACTTGGGAGATCACAAGCCTACCTGCAGGGAAGAAGCCGGTATGATGCAAATGGATATTCTATATGAAGTATAATGCAGATGGGAGTGTAAATCGGTACAAAGCTCGAATTGTAGCAAAGGGATTTACTCAATCATATGGAGTAGACTATGAAGAGACTTTTGCACCGGTGGCCAAACTAAACTCGGTTAGAGTTATTCTCTCTTTGGCTGCAAATTTAGATTGGCCACTCCATCAACTAGACATCAAGAATGCCTTCTTAAATGGTGACCTAGAAGAGGAAGTTTATATGCAAATTCCTCCTGGACTTGAATCATCTAGCACCGCAAATATGGTGTGCAGGCTCCGAAAATCCCTTTATGGCCTCAAGCAGTCTCCAAGGACATGGTTTGATAAATTGACTCGAGTTGTCAAGAAAAACGGGTTCAACCAATGTCAATCAGATCACACTATGTTTATTAAACACTCCATGGAAGGAAAGGTAGCTTTGTTTATTGTTTATGTTGATGATATCGTTATTACAGGAAATTATTATGATCAAATTGATCATTTAAAGGGACTCTTGGCAAAGGAATTTGAAGTTAAGGACTTGGGACAACTTAAGTATTTTTTAGGGATGGAAGTTGCTCGAACAAAGGATGGTATCTATGTATCACAAAGGAAATACACCATTGACTTACTTCAAGAAACTGGAATGCTCGGGTGCAAGGTAGCTAATACACCAATATAACAAATTAAAGGAAAAGAAGATGAAAGTCCACCAGCCGACAAAGATAGATATCAAAGTCTAGTTGGGAAACTAATCTATCTATCTCACACTAGGCCCGACATTGGGTTCGCTGTAAGCTTGGCTAGTCGCTACATGTCAAATCCAACCGAGTCTAAATGAAAATGGCGCATAGAATCCTCCAATACCTCAAAGGCACACCAGACCGAGGCCTCCATTTCAAGAGGAATTCAAACAGGGACATTAAAGTTTATACAGATTCAGACTGGGCAGGATGCTCCACAGACAGAAAATCGACTACAGGCTGTTGTTCATTTGTGTGGGGGAACCTAGTAACTTGGAGAAGTAAGAAACAATCTATAGTGGCGAGGAGTAGTGCAGAAGCAGAATTTAGAGCTATGGCCCTAGGTATTTGTGAAGGAATGTGGCTTAAGAGCATGCTAGATGAAATCAAAATTCATGTCAATCACTCTGTAAGGTTACTATGTGATAACAAAGCTGTTATAAGCATTGCAAAGAATCCAGTCCAACATTATAGAACAAAACATGTGGAAACTGACCGACACTTCATTAAAGAAAAAATTGATCATAAAATTATAAGTATTGATCATGTCCCATCATGTAAGCAAACTGCAGATATCTTAACCAAAGCTCTTTCAAGGAATACTTATGAAAATATCAAATCCAATCTGGGTATGATAGATATCTACCACTCAGATTGAGGGGGAGTGTTAAAGATTAGCACATATCAAATCATAATCATTTGATTCTGATTTGTCAAGCTGTTACAAGACAGTGGTGTAAATAGATTTATTATCTATTATTGTTATTTTCTTATTTAGGTAGTTGTTATTTCCTTATTTAGATAGCAACAATTATAGGAAATTATTTCTCTGTTTATTAACAAATTAGTGTACAACTTATGTACTCTATTTATACCTCACAATTTCCAATCACAATGAAATATACAACATATTTCTTTTATACTTAACTCTCTTACTCTCTCTCTATACTTGCTCCCAGTCTGCTCGTCACTTACTTTGGCATCGGAGTGTGTTTCTGGTACATCCCCCTTCTCTTCCGTACCTTCGTTGGACGGCTAGAAGATCAACGACGCGTGGCAGGTCACTGATTCCCTTCTAGTCAGGTACGATCAGTAGCGCCGTCAGTGGGAATCTAAGCTTCCCCATTCCTTCGAGCAGAGAACCAAAGCTTCCTCCTTTCAAGTTTCAAGATCATGACTAGCCCACGTCAAGATGACACTGTCCATAACTCCGCCATTGCCCCTGTCACCAACTGCGATAACCAGTCAAGAACATCTCAACCCCGTGAGACCGATGTCAGGGACGACCAAACTACCTCCCCTTCATCCGAGGATGCGACACACCATGTCGTCCCTCGGGCGAGGAGGCCGGCGGTATTCCAGCTCGTTCCCACACCGGTTGGGGCGGACCCGACGATGATTGCCCTCTTCGCAGCCATCAACCAGACAAACCAAATGTTGTTTCAACAGAATAAGCGCATCGGCACGTTGGAATACGACACCTCGTCCCGCTCCCCTCCGCGGGAAAATAAGCGCGGGAACTCTCGGAGCCCCTCT